GCGCACACACACACACACACACACACACACACACACACTTAGTGTAAGTTTAAGCTGCTGGGCCCAGGACTTGAACTGCAGTCAACTATATGGAAGTCCCGTAATGTAACCATTATGCCACCTGCTGGTCCCAGAATATTTTTTTAATTAATAGAATGTTGTCAGAATTTTCAAATGTTGATGATTAGAAGTTGAGTTTTTCTTTTTTTCTTTCTTTCTTTCTTTCTTTCTTTCTTTCTTTCTTTCTTTCTTTCTTTCTACATCTGAGGCATATCTTTGACGTGCAGAGGTAAGATGTGAAGAATATTAGGATGACTTATGTCATATAGGTGTGATAATATAGTTCCAGTCTATAAGGTACTTACATCAGGCTAAAAATAGCATCAAGACAAGACACTATTTTTTTTCCTTTTACAATTTAATAACACCAGCAGGAAGAATGATCAAATCTGCTCACCCAGCTCTGACAAGGAACGCTTTTGTACGCACATGCTATATATTTGCTTTTGATAGCTAGCCACAGAGAAGGTTTTCCTCTTTGTTTGCCGTGATATTTGTTAGTCTTTAAGTATTGTGTAGTCTACCCATGGGTAGAGATTTATGTTTTTTTTTTTAAATTTTTAAATCATTGAAGGATTTTTTTTTTTAAAAAAAAACTTTATTTCTTTATTTTAATTTGATGAGAGAGGGACAGAGTGAGCAAGAGAGAGAGCGAGAGAAAGTGAGAAAGCAAGCTGCCGGGTCTGGGACTTGAGCCATGGTTGGCCATGTGGGAGTCCGGTGCCCTTAACCACCATGCCACTTGCTGGCCCTGAGATTTAGTTTTAAAGACTTAGACTATTAAACCTTAATTTGCTATTATCCTACAGATGGTGAAACTAATCAATAAGTGTAAAATACTTTAGCTGAAAGTCAAACTGCAAACGTATTTTTAATTTCTTCATCGCACTCAATTGCATCATCGAGCGTTTGGTTCTCAGTTTCAGTGTTAATGAAGTACATCTGATTAACCTCCCTGCTTCAGAAGTCTAAATTGCATCACCAAACTATCACTTTGATTTATTAAAAATTAAGCCTTTTCAAAAATTAATCATAATTTTACCTGTCTCAAAAGCAATTTTGTACAAGTTTGTGCTTTAGTTCTATAAATTTAGTGAATATTTGGGTAGATGTCTAGTCTGCTCTTCGGGTTACCTTTTAAATACTAAGGAGAAGCCTGACAGCCTCCTGGCCCACTGGGCACAGACTTGGGGGGCATGTTGAAGGTGCTGGCCCAGAAAGAAGGGTAAAGGGAAAGGGCAGCCTGGCTTGGTTTCCTGGGAAACAGGCCATCTTGACCACTTCCTCATTCTTTTAGTGGCAAACAAGGTATCTTTCTCTTCCCCATTCCCTCTCCCCCTCTCTGCTCAGCTCTAGGGACTCCTTTCTTTCTGAGCTTTGACTTCCCACCTTTTTTTTTGGGGGGTTTCTTTCTTGTTTCCTTTTTGTCCAAGAGGTGGCAGGTCCACTTTTTCTAGACATGCCTCCCACCATCTCTGAGCTAAGATTCCTCCGATGTTTCTGTGCCATCTCCACGAGCGAGTGGTTGTCCGAACCCTTGCAGGGCTGAAGACTGCTTCTGTGTCTGTCTTCCTAGGAGTTCAGTGGCTAACTTCCCCACCTCCAATCCTCAGCCTCATCCCTCAGATTCATCATGAACTGAACTCAGGAGATGCTTAAGTGAACAACTGAACGATTACAGGAACAAATGAAAGGCAACTTTTGAAACTCCCAATTTTAAGAGATCTCTGAGTCCTGATAGAACTCATATTTTCCCAACAAACTAGCATTGTTCTTTAATGCTATAGTGTTTCTCTCCTTTTACCCCTCTTCAGCATTTACCTACTGTTCTTTTTTTTCAATTTATTTTTATTTTTTAACATTAATATGCTATACATCATTACAGTATACAAAATGAATTTTTCATCCAAAATACACTATCTGTTGGCTCAATCAAGCACATCAACATACGTGTAATCAACAAACAATTTTTCATTTCTTATGTCATATCTCTCTGGCAGCTGCCTTAGGGAGATGCATTTCCAGCCTTTGTTTTGTAAGGGACAGAGAGCTGCCCAGAGGCATGAGCTTGGAGGACTTTAGGAGCTCCAGTTGTCCATGGACCATGAGTTTCACTTAGTGAGTGTAATTGAAAAGTGAAATTGGATAGGGACAAGAGGGCAGGAAGAGGGCACCATACCTCAGCCTGGGAATTGGGGACATCTTCAAGAACACTCTCTATTCCGAGAGGATCCTGTGGATTCTGGGGACTTGGCACAGCTACCCCATATTCAGCTTGGCAACCTGCAATCAGAGCAGCAGACCCTGCTCTCAGGCTGCTGTGGCATGGCAGAGTGATGAAAGATAACAAGACATGTAAATATGAGTGACATTCTGGGGAAGTGACAGATGCATATATTGAAGGGCAAGATTTGTGGTTTTGATTTTGCAACCATTCTGTAATGACAAGACTGGATTAGAATGGCCCCAGCCCCTCTGGGCAATGTGCTACTGTTTTGGGGTGCTCCTTGGCCAAGTCAACCCTGCCCATCTTCCCACTGCTCCCTTGACAGCTCTACTTGAAACCAAGGAATGAAACTACTTGCTTAACTTTTCTTCCATGTGAAACTTTGAA